GTGTTCTCCTTCCCAGCCCAGGGTGAGTTCAGGGGACTGTTCAGAAAGGAGGGTTCCAGAGAGACGTGGTGTTTGTTTATTCTCAGCCTCTTACAAGTCAGCATCCCCTTTGCCCCTTGGCAGCTGTTCAGAAGGACGTTGGCTGTCCTGTCCTCTCTGCCAAGGAGAGAGTCTCTGAGGACACCGCCACGGGCCAGGCATCTTCCACAGAAACTTCTTTCTTTTGGGCGTGAGGGTTACACTGAACCCAGAGGTGCTCTACACTGAGCTCCACTCCCAGCCCTTTTTATTGTTTTGAGACGGGATTTGCAATCCTCCTGCCTCAGCCTCCCGAGCCACTGGGATTACCAGCACAACTGCAGCACCTCTCTCTGGACAGCTTTGACTGACAGCGTGTTGAACGCTGTGAGAATGGGTGTTGATAGGAAACTGACCACACATGCAGGTCGCCAGCTTGCCGTCGTGACCCGCCAGCCTCTCCTCGGCTCCGCCCCATGCCCGTAACTGATGCGCTTCTGCTGGGGGGTCAGAGGCCGCCCAGGCCTACAGGCAGGGCAGGACAGGCTTGTGGAAATTTGGCCTTCACCCTCACCTCCCCAGGAAGGGAGAGGAGATGCCCTCTCCACGCTGGCTGCTCGCTGGCTCTCGGGCTCAGGATCTGTGCCTGTTTTTGACTCAGTTCCCGAGATAATGACAGGCCTGCTGCGCTGTCTTCCTCCCTCCCTCCCGGGGAGCTGGGGGGACAGCTGTGCCTCAAGGTGAATCAATAGGCGAGCCTGCTTGTGGGACGCAGAGGGGCCGTGAGAAGTCCCCGTGCACACCCCTCCGGGCGAGTGGGGCTGGGAGCCTGGGAACCTGAGTCCCTGTCACTGCCTGCAAGGAGCTCCTCCTCTCCTAACCGAGAGCCAGAGTGGGCTGTGGCAGCCACGCCCTGGAAGGTCCTTGCAGTCCCTTCTGATGGCCTGGCTCTCCTCTGTAAGGCCCACCAGGTGGCTTCCCACCGGTGGACACTTCCCAACACAGCGTGTCATCCTCGGGCCCCAGCCCCTGTGGCCAGGGCCAGTTCCCTCTTTTGTTGTAATGGTCTTCTGTATTGCCCACCTGTCAGTGTCCTGTGCCACCCTCAGGTGACCAGACTAGTGCTGACACTCGGTGGACACTGAGTACGTCTTCGATGGTGAGGGAGGGAGGCGCCGTCCTGCCTGAGCCTGGGGCCGCACAAAACCCACACAACTGTTTCTTCATSGGCTGCTGCTCCTCAGATGCCAGGGTCTCCTGGCATCACTGCCCGACAGTCCTCATGCGACCTGGTGTAGGTCCTCACTGCCTTCTCCCTCAGAGTCCTTCCTGGATCCTCACCTCTGGGAGTGTCATTTCTGCTATGGAATGCTCTGTAGCTGGCCTGTGAGAAGGCAGACAACCAGTGGGACTGGCCCTAACCCTGGGGCACAGCAAGCCCGCTGGGGCAAATCCCCTGCTCGTTTGCTGGGGAAGTCCTGCACGTCCGGATGTCCTTCACTGCTCTCTCACCTCCACATCCTTCCATGGCCCCCACACAGTCCCAGAGGTGGGTGTAAGCTGGTGTGGCTTGGATGGCCAAGCCCTGGATGCTGGGCCTCAGAGCCGTGCTCCCCACTGTATCCTGACGGCCTGTCGCTCACGGCTGTCACCCTCGTTCACTTTGATTTATGAGCAGACCTAATGAGTTTTGGGAGCGACTGTCTCCGGGGACGGGCCATCTATCTGGGAGGGAGCTGTTGAACTCTGCTCCTCCAGCAGCTGCAGGGGGTGGGGGACAAAGGGGTGTGGTCCAAGGGCAGCAGTTGGGCCTGAGCCCCTGGTCTCTGAGCCCCCAGCCCTCCACTTCCTTCCCTTCCCTCTTCTGGGTGTTGGGGTCACACAGGTTTCTTGTCACTTGCCTGTCTGGAAGTCAGGCCAGAAAGTGTCCCTTCTCTCCCCACTCCCAGGAGACAGCCAGCACTGCCATGTGTCCCATGGTGGTAGGAGCCGGGGGCCTGCCTGTCCTGTCCTGGGGTGGGCAGGGGCTCAGCCTCAGGCCTCGATGGCCACTTCCTGGGGAAGGCAGGTCCAAACCTGTCCTTGTCCTGGTGCGGCAGCGTGTGCCCTTCCTGTGGCTCGCTGGGCTGATAGGTCGGTGGGCCTCCTTGCCCTGCTCCAGGGCCCAAGTGCTGCCCAGCACGGGGCAGAGGGAGCCACCTCTTCCTGAAGCTGGCGCCCGGGTCTGCCCTCCAGCACCAGCAGCACTTCCGCACGGCCTGGCAGAGCAGGGGGACCTTGGACAGAAAGAACTGTGCTGGGCATGACTAAGAGGACAGGAGGATGGCCCACTGTCCCCCAGGTGCTCGTCAGGGAGGCACCACTCCATGAGCAGACTCTTCCTAACACTCCTGGGCCACCTCACGAGGCCTCAGGCGGCCCCTCACTCCTGGACAGCAGACAGCATCAGGCCCTCCATGGTAGATCTGGGCTTTGGATGAAGAAGATCAGGAGAACCGGGCGGGCGGCTGGTCTAGGCAGGCACCTTATCAGAAGACTGTGAGACTGTCTTCTTGCCACCTAGAGCCACAGCTTCGTAGATGTCCCAGAAGTTCTAGAGAAGTCCCACATCATGGGCCGGGGCTGTGGCTCAGCGGTAGAGCGCTTGCCTCCCACATGTGGCCCTGAGTTCGGTGCTCAGCACCACATAAAAATAAGAAAATGAAGTAAAGGTTTTGTCCATCTACAACTAAAAAATTAAAAGTCCTCCATCATCACTGACCTAAAGGTACAACACCCCCCTTCCCAGATGTCTGCTCTGGGGACCGCTGTTGGCGGGCGAGCCTCAGCGGGGTGGCGGGGTGCACAGGTGCGAGCTCACTCAGGCCAGTCCTGCCCTTTTGGAAACCTTAATAACTTGGTTTGTTCAAGAGAAGGAAAGCCCCCCCCCCACACACAGCTGGGCTCTCTAGTCAGCATCCTGAGTAAGCAAGCCACTTTCCGCCTGCGTTTCCTACGGCTTCGTGGAGACCTGGTGCTGGGCAGGAAGGTGCGCAGAGAAGCCCCAGCTGGCATCCTGGCCAGAGAGCACTAATGGGGCTCACACTGGGCAGCTACATCTCTGCCTTCCTGCCCGCTGCCAGGACTTGGGGGCCAAGGCSCAGGTCAAGGAACAGACGGGATTTCTCTTGACTTCTTTCCAAATTCATGTCAGTCAGGGCCAGGGCCTGGAGCAGATCACAGGTGGCACCCTGAATGGCAGTGAGAGGGCAGGATTGAGATCTCACCGCCCCTTGGCCCTGCTCAGCACCCTGCCCACAGCGGCACAGCTGTCGGCTGCAGCCTCCTGAACCACCAGCCCCGCCACCACGCAGCCTTGGCCCCAGCTGTACCCCACCCTGCTCTGCAGCTGGTGACCTTCCTGAGCCACAGGGCTGGCCCCGCTGGCTTGCTGAAGGCCCCCCATCCTGCCCCAGCGTACCTGGGAGCAGGTCTTCCTCRCAGACCTCTGCCATTCACACCCCTCCTGCGCCCACCCCGGGAGTTTCTGGGATGAGCCAGACTGCCTGGGCCAAGACTTGAGGGAAGAACTAGGTCACTGCTTCCCCCTGACTGGCCAGGGCCGGGAAGATTTGTGACACCCTGGAGCGGCAGGCGTGGTGGGAAGGATCGGGCTGTGAGAGGCGGAAACAAATCATCTTCTTTATTGGCAATCTTCTCAGGCCTGTTCCTGCACTCCCCTTCCCTCTGCCACCCCTCCTGGCCCCAACAGTGTCAGGCAGTTCTGATTAAAGTCATAGATGACCCCACCCCACTCCCCAGTGCATTGTGTGGGAAGACACTGGCCTGGCCTCCTGTGGGTCTCAGCAGAACAGCCTCTCCCCGGGAGGAGCCTGAGCCTCTGAGGGACTGGCTGTCAGGAGTGGCCAAGCGCCACACTGGCCTCTTCTGAGTCTCGCTTCACATTCACCCGTGTCCCCATGGTTATCTGAGGGACCTGGGCGAGGCTAGAGGGGCTGTCAGGTCTGCTCTGGACAGGGACAGCAGGGGTTATAAACTTCAGACGGGAGACGGGGACACTGGTCGTCTCCGGGTTGTTAAGTAGCTAACAGGGCCAGTTCTAAGTGATCCATAGAGCAGGTACAGAAGCCAGAGGGTTGCAGAAAGATCTAGAAGTCCTGTATTTTCAGAGTGCCAGGAACGCTCTCTGATGATGGCTCAGTTCTTCCTGAACTCTGCTGTGTGCAGGTGCTCTGCTGCGCCACCTCCAAGGCATTCAGGTGGCAGAGGACAGGCTGGTGAGCTGGTCTGCAGTGCCTCTGTGTGAGGCAGCCCGGTCTTGGGCAGTGATAGAGGCCTGATTGCTCTAGACAGGCAGGGTCACAGGTCCTCCTACTTTTGCAGCAAATCTGTCCACTAGCTGGGCCACCAGCCTCGGTGCCAGCAGCTCAGGACTCAGTAGTCCCAGTGTTGCCCCCTGGTGTCATTTCTTCCCTAGTGTGACAGCTGGCCACTTCCCGCCTGCCGTAGGTGCTGCCTCCACGTCTGCACCTGGCATTCCTGCCTTTTTGCCCCAAGCCTGGGAGGACGCTTCCTTCCAAATGCTGTGTCCCTTCTGCCCTGCACTCGCCGTCGGCTCCCCGGGCGCACCCTTTAAACCAGGAGAGGGCGAAGGAACAGGTGTGCTGCCAGCCTGCTCCCTGCCAGGAAGGGGACAGGGCCACCCTGCTGACACCCTAGCATAGCACTGCTCTGAATCATGACCAGACACCCCCACACTGGGCAGAGGGCACAGGGTGTAGAGAGGGGCAGTGGGGCATTCGTAAGCTCTAGTAGCCATGTTGACCTGCCCCACAATGTGGCTTTGGGTCACATGAATCTGGATTTAAAGGTTCTTTCTTGTGGGTTCTTTCTAGCGCCCCCCCCCCCACAGGTCCCCAGGCTACAGAGTCCCAGGTAGGGGACTGTCCCATGCCGTGGCTCACTCCCATCTTGTCTTCCAGCTTTCGCCATCATGATTGTGCTGGCCTTGGTCCGCATCGGAAAGGGCCAAGGAGAGGGGCACCCRCCCCTGGCCGACCCCTCAGGGCTCCGGAACCTGTTGGGGGTGTGCGTCTACTCCTTCATGTGCCAGCACTCCCTGCCGTCCCTCGTCACCCCCGTCTCCTCCAAGCGCTACCTCACACGACTGGTGTTCCTGGACTACGTGCTGATCCTGGCCTTCTACGGCCTCCTCTCCTTCACCGCCATCTTCTGCTTCCGTGGCGACAGCCTCATGGACATGTACACCCTCAACTTTGCGCGCTGCGACGTCGTGGGTCTGGCGGCCGTGCGCCTCTTCCTGGGCCTCTTCCCCGTCTTCACCATCAGCACCAACTTCCCCATCATCGCCGTGACTCTGCGCAACAACTGGAAGACGCTCTTCCACCGCGAGGGCGGCACGTACCCCTGGGTGGTGGACCGCGTGGTCTTCCCCACCATCACCCTGGTGCCACCCGTGCTGGTGGCCTTCTGCACACATGACCTGGAGTCCCTGGTGGGCATCACGGGGGCCTACGCAGGCACTGGCATCCAGTTCGTCATCCCTGCCTTCCTGGTGTACCACTGCCGCAAGGACACCCAGGTGACTTTCGGCTACGGGACCGTCAACAAGCACAGGTCCCCGTTCCACCACACCTTYTGGGTGGGCTTCGTGCTGCTCTGGGCTTTCTCCTGCTTCTTCTTCGTCACAGCCAACATTGTTCTCAGTGAGACCAAGCTCTGATGGCAGGGTGTGCCTGGTGACAAGACGGCCAGGGGCCCCACCACGGCCTCGCCGCTGTAGAGCAAGATTTTCGTTGCCACCCAGGGCTTCATGGGCAGGAGGACAGGGGCGCTCAGAGGGCACCTCTGCATCTCCAACTGGGGGTCTCCTCCCGACCCAGGGCCCTATCTAGTCTGTGCTGGCCTGGTCCCCTGGAGGGCCTGGTCCCCTGGAGCAACTCCCTGCCATGCCCCTGCCTAGGGCAGCAGCAGCTGCTCTCAGGTTTCAGGATGGTCCCAGTCACACTGCTGCCCCCTCCAGCCGTTGGAGGCAGGCTCCTCCCTCATGTGGTGGCACATGCAGTGCTGGCACTGCTGCTATTTATACCAGACCCCGTGTCCYCTCCTCCGCCCTCCCCAGCCCCTTCCTGCGTCCTTGCCTGTCTACTAGCAGCTGCTGTCCCTTCAGAGACAAGTCTCAGGYCCTGGTCCTCTAACCTGGCCTGCCTCTGGCAGGCAGCACCCAACTCTCTGCCAGGCCTGAGAGTCGCTAAGTGCCACTCCTAGTGACAAGAATGGGAAGTGCTAACTGGCACCAGGGTCCCTGAGCCAGAGCTGTGAGGGCCCTTGCTGTGGCCGCCATCTCTGGGGCACTGCGCCAATGGCACATCCCTTCCCAGGGCACGCGGCAGCCTAGAAGCTGGGTTTAAAGTCCTTCGCCTGTGCTTCCTGGTAGGGGCTCTTTGGCCCCTGACTACCCCTGGAGCCCTCTGGGCCCCCTGCAGTATAGGGGGCTGCCCTGGGCATGAGGCGTGGAGAGGGCTTCGTGGTTCCCACCAYGGACGGCCAGGCCAGCAGGCAGCAGCTGCCTTGCTCCAGTCCACACAAGGGTGCTCCCTCCAGAGTCTGGCCACGGGTGCTCAGCGTGGCGCTCCTCCTGCCCCTGAGTTCCGTAGGGTAGGAAGAGATACCTGCCCGTTCTTGTGGAAGGAGGCCAGGCTTGCAGCCACCTCCACCTAATCATGCCTGCACCTGCTGGGCAGGCCACCTTGGAAACAGATGACTCTGTTGAACTCTGCATTTTCAATGTGCCTTCTGCTTCAGGCCCTGGGGATCCTTCCTGACCCTGGCTTGTCCCCAGCCCTGGGCCTGGTCCCATTGTCCTAGAGCGCAGAGCAGCCTGCCAGGGAGCTGCCTCTCTGGGGAATGGGGAACTCAGGCCCCTACCCCACCCTCTTGATTTCAGTGCCTTGCTTAGCCCTTGTGAGGGAACCCTCGCCCCCTCCTCCTCTGTGTGTGTGTCGCTCWCTGACGTTTGACGGTACACCCTGGGGCCCAGGGAATGTGGGTCTGCAGGCAGCACCGCTCTGCTTCTGGCCCTGGCACCCCTGCCCCTGAGAACCCCTGAGTCATAAATTGGCCTCACTCTGCTTTCTCGCCACTGTCGCATGTGGGCAGTTCTTGCACCTGCCCCCATAAGCCATCGTCTTCCATCCGTGTGAAAAACATCTGCTCCTCCCCACCTGCTATGGTGGTATCTTCCCAGGAGACCCTGCCCTGGGGYGGGCCAAGCCAGCTGGTGCCAGGGTAGTGAGGCCACGTATAAGGAAGAGCTGCCCATGCCCTGTGCTAGGCCCTCCCTGAAGCTGCCTGCTGTTTGCTGAGAACTCAATTAAAACATCTGTACTTACCTTCTCCAATTACACTCCCTCTTGCTTAAGGACAAAGCAAATTAAATCATCCTGCTGCCCCCGGGCTCCAAACCAAATTTTGGAAGCAAATTTATTAGCATCATAAAGCCCAGGTTGATTTATGTGACAATCTGGAGCCACACACAGCAGTGGAGTCTGGTGGCTGCATTCCCCTCCTCCTCTGAGCCCCAGCTGCCCCAGCTGCCCCAGCCCTGGAGGGAATTGACCTGAAGTGACCGGGAGTCACAGATGCCACGCAGGGACCCTCCCCACTGTCTGGTTGCTCTGCACCTTCGTTGCCACCTGCCTCGGGAGAAGTCAGATGAGGTCACCTTCCTCTCCACTGATGGCTGGGTGGATTCAGGACAAGGGATGAAAGACCCTAGCAGCTAGACATCCCGAAGTGATGCTGCTCACCACGTGCATCAAGCACAACTGTGAGTTTTTATATCAATGTTTGAAGCAAGTTGGGTCATAGTTTCCGTTTGCAGAGGGGCTCTAGGGGTCACGGGTGAGGAGAACAGGGATGCCAGCTGGATGTCAGCCTGGCACAAGATACAAGTGTCGTTGTGGCAGTTTTAAACACAGCAGCCTCTACCTGTCTCATCCACCCAGAGCAGCCCCAAGGGCAAGTCAGGTCAAGGTGGGAGAAGACAATCTTCGCTTGTTCCCTGCCAAGGCGCCAGGCCCACCTGAGCACTGGCGCCTGCTACCAGCCCTCTGGCTGTTCCTCACCTGAGGCCAGAGAGGCGGCTGTGGGCTTGTAGATGGGGCAGATGGCAGGTGACAGGCTGAGGCACTGCTGAGTTGTGGAAGGTAGCAGTGGGCCCCGGTCCAGGCCCCAGGCCACACATCTGTGCTCACCACATGGGGCCAGGAGCAGCCCTGGCAACAGGCTGACACCAGAGTGGTGAGGAGCAGCCAGGCCGCCAGCAGAGGGAAAGTGGCAGCTGTGCCAGGCCCCGGGGAGTAGAAAGCTGAGATTTGAGCCCGCTTAGGGGTCAGAGGCCCTAGCAAGGCTGACTCATGCCAAGGGCCACTGAAAATCCGGCCCTTAGACCAAGATCCAGAGCTACAGGAGAACCCTGCCACCCCTCTTCCCTGGGGCTGGGGCTGGCAGTGTCAACCTCATACTGGAGAAAGGGAGAAGTGACCTGTACAGAGGGCCGGCCATGTGTCTGTCACAGTGCTAAGTACTTCTTGGAGCCTCCTTTGCCAAGTGGGGTAACTACCTATATGACGGATGGGTCCTGGAAAATTAAGGACTGAGCCCAGAACCTGCCACAGAAGTGCTCAATAAAGCTGCTGTTTACTGATGCCCGTTACCTCCCGTGTCACTCACCAGCCGTAACTGCGCTCACAGCCCAAGACCTGGGACTCAAATTTAAGACTTCAGGTATCTAATTGGTTTCATAGCCTTCTAAAGAGATGGTGGCGTGTGATGGCCGTTGCCTGCAGTACTCAGTCAGGAAACGATTCTTCAGGGTCTAGAGGASTTGGGGGGAGGAAAGGATTGGCTCTGGTTCCCCAGTCCTCTGGGAGACCTGCACAYCTCCCCTTTCAAAGAGCAGGCAGGCGAGGCTGGAGGGGCCTGGTCTGGGATATCATGCCCACCCTTTTGTGAACTTTGTCCCCCACCCTGGGGGTAGATGTGAGCACTGGGCTAAAGACCAAGGGAAATACATCCAGGACAACTGCAGGAGGGAAGCAGGTCAGAATTCCCTGTGACTGTGGCTGGGCCTCTCTCTTCCTGGGTCCCACCAAACAGAAAAGCAGCTTTGGTGTGTGGTCATGGGGCCCTGGTTTCGGATGCTTTCCCATCCAAGGCCTTGCTTCCTCCCTTCCCCACCCCCAGGCTTTCTGCCTCCACTTGGAGAGGAAGGACACCGGCCCTGAACCACATCCCCTTCCCAGGGACTGTGTCCCCCACTCATGTTCCTAGATGGCAGCCAGTGCCTGGCCGGGCGAGCAGGAGCGGCCCCTCCTCCCAGCCAGCAGCAGGCTCGGCTCCACGGTTGGCTCTTAATTATCTTTCCAGTCCTTGATTATTAATGATCTTGGGCAATGAGCAGAGCAGCCCGGCCTCGCCCTGTCCCTGGCCCCACTGCCACAGTCTCCYCCAGGGCTGCACCAAATCCTGACTCAGGGAAAATGTGGGGTCCCACTCAGGGATTGGTAGCCTACTGTTAACCCTCTCACTACCGCGGCTGTGGCCAAGGTCAAGCTCCCTTCCAGAGCACTCACCTAGATTCACACCCCCTACCTGTCTGATTCTGGCTCCAGCCCAAGAACATCCATAGGGCAGAGAAGGTGAACTTGACTGTAATGTAGGAGGGCCACCTACTCTTGGGGTGGTCAGACTCTAGCCACAAATGGAGATGTATCCCACCCTACTATATCTCAACGGCTCCCACCTCTAAAACCAAACCAAAAGGTCAATTCTCATGGCCTCTACCCAGRCCTCTCTTTGGAGACTGAAGAGGGAACCCTGCTTCCTTGGCACCAGCTGGGACATCACGCCAAACCTTTTGAGAACTTTCTCCCCCACCCTACCTGACTCCCCAGGAAGGGCACTGGGCAGAGAGAAAGGGAGCCAGGCAAGTCTGTGTCTCTTTGTCATGTGGACAAATCTGCTTGGCCCCCACCCAACCTGTTAAGGACAATCAGGAAAGGGTTTGACAGAATTGATAGTGCCCACCATGTTTGTGGAACAAATGGAAGGAGGATTCCTTGCTCACTTCAGTCATTGAGGGGGATAAATGTAGTTGCAGATGTGAAAACACCAAAGGATATAACAAGAGCCATCTTTTCACATGGCCCAGGGCAAATGGTGTGACAGAGAAAGGAGGTCAGCTGAGAACCCCAGAGGGAGGATGAGCGGATGGAACAGTGGGCAAATTCTCCTACCTGAGAAGTCCTGGCACCTGGAAGACCGAGCCTCACCTGGCCCCGGATGCCAGCCAGGCCAGGCTTCAGAGCCCACAGAGCCCATGCAGCCGGCCAAGGGCCAGGCAAGCCTGGCATGCTCCCAGCAGACCTTCAGCTGTCTTCCCACCCTGACACTGTCAGGCTCCCAGGTGGTCCCTGTCTCGGCGAGACACCTGCAGTCCCTGGTCTGGGCCTCCCTTTTCAAGGAGACTGAAGATTGAATTCCATCCATCACCACCAGCGCCCCCATGCTGATCACATTTGTCACATCTGGCACCAGGGTAGATTGAGTTGGCACTGAATACCGAGTGGCTTCTGTGGCCTGGAGCCCATCCCTCAGCCTCACCTTCTCCCCACATCCTCCCCAGACACTCCTAAGAGTCCCCCAGAGTGAGCTGCCCACTTGCTCCCAGAAGATGCCCTGTCTGAAGATTGAATATCTGGATATTCCCATGATGCTCCTGTTGCCGACAGGTTGTGATGCCCCTTTCAGGATGCAGAATGAGCAGCCAGGCGCAGTGAGTTGTAAGAGGTTGGTTTAATGTCTCCGTACTTAGAAACTCCAGTCAGGTGGAGCAAGGAGCAGGATGGCCCTGCCCCACCCCCAGGTCTAGCCTCCGTGCCCTCACACCAAGGCCACAGCAGCCACGACCAGGGCCAGACTAACACCAGGGCAGAGACACCCTCAATAGCCCTGCTCCCTGTGACACGTGCTGGATGGATGGGGCTTTGCGTGATGAGGACACAGCCAAAGCCTGCCGAGGTCACTGAGCTGGCCATGGAAGAATCATCTGCCACTGGGGCCCCTGGCCAGCATATGGTTGCAGAAGCCAGGAAAGCCCAAGTCTGCCTGTCCCTATCCCTGACAGTGCCAAGCAGAGAATCCAGCCCAACAGGAACCAGAACTACCTCACACTTCTGACTCCAGGCTTGAGATCCGCCTCCAGGTGCAGGGTCTTCGGGAGCCTTTGGTCCCACAGGCTCCCCTGCTGACCTCTTCCAGCACCCCACTGTCCCTGTAACCCGTGCTCAGTCCCAAGGTCCTGCCCCTGTTCACTGGAGGCCCCCAGGACCCAGGAAGCCAAGGGCCATGACTGGCGCAGGGTGGAAAATGAGGGCAGACAGCCCCCCAGCAAAATGGCAGGTGGGCATGGGCGTGCAGGCAGACGTGCTGTCTGGGCTGCCAGGCGAGGACCCCTGCTGGCTCGCCCTGCCTGCAGGCCTCCGGGTAAGAGGGCAGCCGCATCGACTGTGCCTGCGCCAAGTGCCTGCAGGCCGGCCGGCTGTTGGAGCAGGAGCAAGCGTGGCCGGTGTACCTGGCAGGCAGCAAGCCAGGCCGAGTGAAGGCCTCGGCCACCGAGCTGGGCAGAGAAGCGTGGCGCGGGMGTGGGTTCCGGGCCCAGGCTGCGCGCAGCAGGGCTTCCCGCTGGGCCAGCTGCTCTGGCCCCAGCAGCGGCAGGTCGTCCGGCTCTGGGGGCTCCGGGAAGAGAGGGAGGAAGGGGCGTCCGGACCGGTCGGCTCGGGGGAAGGAGCTGTAGTGACAGTGCCCAGGGGACAGGGGGCGCTCTGAGAGCGCGCACTGCTCGGAAGCCGAGAGGTGCCGCCCGTGGGGCCCGGCGCAGAGCCGCCACCGCGCCTCCCAGGCAGGCGGGTTCGAGGCCYGGGAGATGTCGAGCAGAGGCGGCCGGGGCGTCGGCGGCCGGCCGGAGGGCTGCGGGGCCCTGCGGACCAGCGCAGCACGGCCCCCGCCCGGCGGCCCCCAGCCCCTGGGGTTGGGCTCGGGGGGCGGGCCGGGGGCCTGCGGTCGCGGGCCGGGCCCGGGGCAGGCGGGCGGGGGCGCGTGGCGGCTGCTGCCCCAGCTCTCGATGGTGC